GGGTTTGAGCAACAACTCCATGGAGACTAATTTTCTGGAACTCCAAGGTTCTGGGAAGCCCCCTTTCCACCTTTTGTTTTCCTACTCCTAGGCACAGTAGCTGCATCCTGCAGTTAGTTTCTCTGGGTTACCCCTAGTGCCTCCAGCACATCACCCCTGTTGAAATATCTCGCATGGACTCTTTTAACTGAACATATCCCAGTAGAGGTGCTCTGTGAAGAGCAGATGTAGTACTGGTTCACGGCAGGATCAAGATAGAGACATAAATGCTTAAGGCCAGCTTGCTCAGGTTGGCATTTACAGGTTGTTTTAATGTTCCAAGTGTGTTAACAGAGGAAGATGTCCGTAGCAGCAAGACTTTGAAGTACTTCTATCCGATGAAACTTCCTGCAATAATAGAAATGTTCTAAAATGTGTTGTCCAATAGATAGCCAACGTGACTGTTGAGAATTTGAAACATGGCTAGGATAACTAATTTTACTTTTATTTGGCTTAAACAGCTACAGATGGCTAGTGGCTATCATGCTAGACCAGGCAGGTCTGAGGGGACTGGAGGACCAGACAACCTGCAAGACTGCACCTTTGTTAATTTGTCAGGTATTTTAACAGATACTAAGGTTACAAAAAACAGGAGATACTATATTTCCTTCTAAAGGAGGCGAGGCCAGCAAAGGAAGATGGATATGCAACACCACTTTGAAAGATGATTCTGCCAACAGTATGTAAGATGGACCAAAGGCGCAAGGTCAAAGATAGGCCACTCAGAGCAAATGCAATTGTCCAAATTAGATGAGAAATCTCATTGACAGTAGTAAGGGTTGTAAGTGCACATGAAAATCTGACCTGTCGACGCCTGGTAATCAAGGGTAAATAATAGTAGAGTTGAGAATAATTCCCTATTTCTGAATCAGTATATCACTTTAAGAGAAAATAAGAGAACCAGGTTTGGGAAGAAGTGGTGAATTCAGTTTTGGAGGTGTGGAATTTAAAGTGCCTGTGAAACATCGAAGTCTCTGTGCTGAACAGACGCATGGACACACACGTGGATCTAAAATGTACAAAGGATAAAAAAAAAGGAAAAAAAAAAAACGTACAAAGGAGGTTCAGTTAGGAACACGAACTTGTGAATCAGAAGCATGTAGGCAGTACAAGACAAACTAGCTGATATGACTGTCCAGGAAGCGTGAAGAGTTAGAAGTGGGCCAAGAACAGAAATCTTGACAACATTTGAGTACAAAGAAAACAAAAGAATGAGAATAATGCAAAGAAGCCTGTCTCAGGAAGGCAGAGCTTCTGAAAATTACTAGCCAAAGCCAACAATGACAAACTATAAAATGGCTGACAATAAACTGAACACTCACACTGTGACATATTCTCAGAGTTTTTGTTTAATACAGAAACCCATTTCATCTTTTAAAGGAGGCATATAAGGCAGTTTTTACTGTGAGAGGAGTTACAGAGTTCACTCGAGACCAACACAGTAATCCAGACACAGGCAGCCTGGCTCTGGAGTCGGCACGCTCAGCCACTGAGAGCGCGTCCACGAGTGAAGGGCTGAGAAACACTCGGAGCAGCTTCGGTGGAGCACAGGCTGCATGGCTGAGGGGGTCATCCGAAAACTTAAACTCCCTGCCTTTTCACGTGACTCACAACAATGCAGAAGGCAAGTTTCCCTGCCCTACTTTAGTCAGGCTCAGCCAGCCTCTGAGGGGGAGGCCACAGGTGACCCTTAAAAAAATTAAAGTTGGAGAAGCATCTACTCAATGTTCTCAAACATCTGTCACTGTAAAAGGCTTTTAAGAATCCACATGATAAGAGAGGACCTAGACACCTTTTGGAAAGAAAGTTCCTCATATGCTTTTGATCCACAACTAGGGTTAAGGATACATAACTGGCTCCAGATTATTGAAAAAGAACCATTTGCTAAAGGACAAACATATTGTACAGGCTTTGGGATAATACAAAGCAAAAAAAGTAAGTTTTCTAATTCTGTCAAAGAGCAAATATGTCCATGTAACAGATGTACTTTTAAATTTATAAACTCATTTTATAAATTTTACTTATACTTTCCTTGTAACATTGGGTTATCAATAATGTCTATTCCTTATCACAACCTGGTTAACAATTAACTGTAAATTTACAAGTATGGGGGTGAAAAACTGGAAGGGGTCATACCCAAGCTCCCTAACTTTCTTGGTAAATTAAGATCCTATTTTACTGGAGCTGCGTCGAATGGGAGGTTCAAGGATAACAGTGAAGGTGTGAGAAGAACTGCGCATGAAAAAACAGGGAATCTGAAATTCTGGTGTGTGTCTGTGCACATCCAACTGTGTACACAGTTCCCTCAGTCATGACTCTTAATTTTATCTGCACACCAATGTAAAATCTAGAAAAGTAATTACACAAAGTTGTCCCTACTCAGTCTTCCCAAGTATCCTGTGGGATTTTACTTTTGGAGGATGACAACAGGACTGAGGTTAAAGTCAACAATTCTGAATCATAAAGACACTGAACTTCTAGAGGATTAGACACAGGAGGACAGAATCCACCTTAGTCTTAGTAAATCTAAAACTAAGGAAAAGAATTTTTAGTTACTTCCTTGAAGTCAGTGAGAGAAATGATGACTTTCCAATAAACCAGGGTTCAAAAAGATGCTAGGGATTACTTAGTACGGCGGTTCTCAAACTTCAGCAGATGGCAGAATCTTCTGAAGGACTTGTTGAAACTTGTTAACTCTTCAAGCTTAACGTGTTAAATCACTAGTTCTGATGTGGGGCTCAAGAATTTTCAATTTTAACGTGTCCCCAGATGATGCTGAATCTGCTGGTCTGGAGACATTTTGAGAAGTAGTTATTTAGTGTAGTTAGTGTATTGTATTTTAATGAATCTGAAAAGAATTACGGGCTTTCGGGCTCAATGATGGCTGTAGTCTCCTTATCACAACCTTTATAAGTTCCTCCAAGCCTTAACTTCCATTTGAATTCTACCTTAAATTTTTACAAAATGTAATTTTTGGGGAGTGGGAAAGGAGTACTACAGTAATCAAAATGAGAATCATTAAGTGAAAGTGAAATCTGCCATGGACAATAGTTCTATGAGGTTTTGAGTTTTAAATTACTAGCCCTAAGTTATATTTAATCCAGTATATAATGTAAGAAAACTTCACTGACCTAAACCATTAGATATAAAAACGAGTTGCTTCCTCAGGTCTTAAAAAATGTCACTTTTTAAAAGAAGAACTTCAGATTCATAATTAGGAATGAATAAACTGGCTTTAACTACAGAGTAAATATAATACTTACCTGGATGTGCCTCATAAAAGAAGTAATTTCCTATGGTGTTTAGCAGATTGTGTCTCAGTAGTCAGTTATACACAAACAACTTTACTGTTATGGTAGAATATCATAAAATGCTGAAGATACTTTATAAATGCTTTGATGATACACATGAAGTTTCTAAACTTTCAACAGGGCTTGAAAATCGATGTAGAATACTAATTCTGCTAAGTAGAGAATTTAAAATCTAAACCAAAACACATTCTGATGGCTATAATATACAAAATCTAACTTTACAAAGAAACAGCAATTTATCATTAATACCTTAGCAGTACATTGATACCTTTATAAGGAGTATTATATAATAGTTTAGTATTTTCTTGTTCTTCCTCCATCCAGATCTTTTATGAGAGGCACTTATAAAAAGCACTAGTTTTGGCGACGCTGTAACAAACATACACATGGTATAATGATATATTTTACTACGCTGACAAAGTATCATTTATAAAGAAATTTTTATAAATTCAAAAATAGGTTGTTGGTAGCATGATTACCTTTAAAGCACTGTATTTCATTCACAATATTACTTCATTAATCTTAAATAGCAGTTCCCCTTATAAAATGTTCTACAATTTTTTTCCTTTTTGAAAAGGGAGTAAATAAATGCAGGGAAAATACTCATATAATTTCTAGTTCAACAATATCAACTTCCATTTCACAGCATTGATTAGTAGAGAACATTTTCATTTAAAGTAGTATACAATTTACAAAAATAGAATGATTATATAATGCAAACACCGTCCTCCATTATGAAGAATGTTTGTGTGTATGTGTGTATGTATGTGTGTGTGTATATATATATATATTTAATATATACATATACATAGTTCTTATAAGTTTCACTATTAAATAGCCCTTATTCAAGTACTTTTTTCTGGTATCTCTTGAAATAATCACCTTGCTATATTATATGTAAATACATAAAAAAAAATTAAAGGTTAATCTAAGAAAAGGTTAAAAGTTTCAGTGTGGTTGACTCAAATATCAGCCGCTCACTACAGTTAAAACCTGATTTGAATTCAAAACAGGTTTAGGTGCCATACTAAGTATAACAACTTAGTCAAAAATATAGATATAATATTTAAGTATCAAATACTCAGTAAATTTCTACTGTGCTAACATTAGAGCAAAATTAAAAGTCTGTATTAATCTGTTAATCACCCATAAACAATCCCCAGGAAAAGATTCATTTATATAACTAAAAAAATACACTAATATATAATATACCTGCTTACAAACACATAGGTAGCCATAAATAAAACTTTATTCTTTAATTTCATTTACAAGCTACCAAATATTATGTATTGTACACAGTGCTGAACACTTAAATGGCTATAGTCACGGAGGATCCAGACTGAATGGAAAGCTGTAGATCAAGAAAAGATATAAGCAAAGTAATACTGTAACAGAAAAGTGGCAAAAGCATGGTTTTGCCATAATAAAATCAATCGTACATCAGTTCTGGTTAAAACACAGTCTGAGCGCCATGCGATTCTCAGCTTTATTGTTTGCAGTCTGGCTAAAGTCTGTAGAGTCAATTTGTCTTTTGCAGTTATTAAAATAAAAGTTAAAAATTATAGCAGCAACAAGCAAACCCTGTGACAGGAAGGCAAAGGCTAAGAACTAAACACGTTTACACAGTGTGTTCAGGGGAGTATGTGCAGTTTATCTTCCATCAGCAGGAGTCCGACTGAGGGACAGCATGATGCGGGCAAATCGCTCACAGAGTTCATGTGTGGAGTACGGAGGTAACTTCGGCGGCTCATGGAAACCTTTAATCTCCGTAGAACAATCGAGCAGCTTTGGCAGAAAATCTGTCAGCTTCTCTTGGAGGTTTGCTGCAAATACAAACAATCAGATATAACTAAAAGCTGACAGGGAGAAAAATCATCTTCAACAAGATTTGCTAATTTAGTGTAGGCAGCTGACGCTTTGTTTCGAAGCATGGAAGCCACTGCCACGTAGGAAGGAGAGGTAGAACATGAGCGGCAAGGGCAGCAGGCACAGCTGAGTTTGTAAGCGAGAAACAAGGTCACGAATGTAGCAGCGCCACAGGAGAGAAAACGGTGAGAACTAACATCTAATTCTGACAGCTTTTAATCCCAACAACTCAGGAAGCCACTAGCATTGCTTCAACTTACATTCCATTTCTTGTCCAAGATACGAACACCATCGATTTCTCATATCTTCCACAGCAAGTATGTCTTTCTCTTCCATTTCATCCACCAATAACAGGGGCAAAAATGGGACAATAAATTCATTCATGATAATCAGACCATTGTTTACGTCTCTATCCTCTCCAGATTCAAACAGTTCTGCAGCTTGCTCATTTAATTTCTTAATGCAATGAGAGAGAAAGAGAGAGAGAGAGAAAAAAACAGGTTTGTTTCCTTTTTCAATTAAATAAAAATATCTCAGAGTGTGAATAATGAAGGCAACATAATAAGCATGTTTGTAAACAGTAATAGAACAAATGGAAATCAGAAAAAGCGACCTCAGCTTATGGAGTGAGAAAAGTTTCCTAAAAAAGGATATGCATGTTACAATAGAAACAAGAGCAAAAAAAAAAGTCAGAGACATACTGCTGTCATGTTTTTAAGGTTTTATTTTACTTTGATCATCACTATAGGAATCATTTTTAAATTAATTCTCCAGAGGTGAATTATCCGAATTCTAAAATACGTTAAGCACTCAATGTAATTTTAAAAGCAAAGAAATTCAGATTCCATATTAATTTTGAAAAACTCATCTTTTCCATAAATGTCAACTGAACAGGGACTGTTATATTTCTTGATACAAAAATATGGAGGTAATCAACTAAACCGTTCATTTCTTCAAAAAATTCTTACTCAGTACATGCCATGTGCCAGAAACTGTTTTAGTTGCAGGGGTACCCAAATGATTAGTAAGAAAACTCTCATGGAGCTTACAATCTGTTACAATATAGGGATCAGTAAAATTTTCTCTGTAAAGGACAAAACAGGAACTGTTTTAGGCTCTGAGGGCTATATAGTCTTTGTTGCAATGACATTAATATTGTTGCATCAAGACAGTCATATGTAAATGAGCAGGCAGGGCTATGTTTCAGTAAAACTTCATTTATAAAAACAAGTGGCAGGCTGGAGCAGAGGCCAAGCATGCTGACATCTAATTAAACAGAAGAAAGAAATCCATGAGATAAGAAATACAGACATGGGAGACAGAAAAAATATACAGGTATAATAAGACTTAAAACACTTTTGTAAATTGGAGAATAATTGCTTTAACAATGTTGTGTATGTGAATCAGCTATAAAAATACATATTCCCCTCCATCATGAGCCTCCCTCCCACCTGCCCATAAGACGTTTATGTCTGAAATCTCATGTTTACAGAATGAAGAGTATGATTTTAAAATAATCTTTATATTTTAAGAAGAATTTAAATTACAAAAATCATATTATTTCTTAGGTTTATGACATTCTTGTCCAATTCAGCCACTAAGTAATTATCTAACAGTCAGCAAACAACTAATTTTCTGGCTTCAGCTTCTTTATATGAAAAATGGCATACTATAATGCTCCTCACATATTGGCTAAGAGGATTAAATGAGATAAGCCTTTAAGTATATAGTATAATTTTTACAATTTGCATTCAAAGACATTATTACTCTGAAATTTGATGTTATGTTTACTAAATCAAAACAGATCCTAGAAACAACTTAAGCATAGTTATGTCCAAAGCCAGCCTTATTCATCCTCTTAAGAGTACCCAAAGCCAAAGACAGAACAGAACTAGTAAGTCATGAGGCTTTAATGCCTCTATTTCCTTCTTTCCACTCATCTAATAGTTACCAATCATTCCCCTTTCCATTTATATAGCTTCTCTTTCATACTGTACCTCTTAGTTGAGACTCTTCCTCTTTTCCCTGTCTATCTTTTCTAGGGTTCTTTGTTTCAATCTTTACTCCATTCTAGTCCATATTCAAGTATACTACTGCCAGAATTATTTTCTAAAAACAAAACTGATCATGCCCAATTTATTCCAACTTTACAACCAACTCATGAGAATGGTGCATAAGCTTCTACACAGTTTGACATCAACAAACACTGTTGGCTTCATCACTTCCACCTAAACTTGTTCCTCATAACTAAGCCACAATAGGCTTATCTTCATTTTCTGTTGTACACTCTCCATGTCTCTTCCTATGATATTCCTTTGTCTAGAGTTTCTTGCCCCATCTCTACAACGCACAAAACGCCTATTTATCTATCAGGATACAGATCAGTGTTTATCTTATTTCTTAAGCTTCTTCCAACAATTCCAAGCATATTATGTTGCGTATTTCTCATAACAATACTTATTCTGAAATATAAAAATTACTTGTATACATCTCTCACCAGATTGAATTCTCTTAGGATATAATAATGGGTCTTATCTTTGCATTCCTCAGAATCTGATACTCAGTAAATGCTCAATTTAAAAAAAAAAACTAAAAAAGGAAAAAAAAACCACCTAAAAGGAACACTAAAATTCTCCTGAAGCTTCATTTAAATTCCTGTGTGAAACAATACATGCAGCTGGCTTACTAACATAAAACGATAAACACTGCTTACCATAATATAAACACTGTCTACATAATGGTAGACAGTATTTTAGCTGTGCTTATATTTAAAATAGGTTTACCAGAATATTTCAATATTCCAATACTGCGAAGTTTTACATTAAAAATTGCCTTGATTCATTCAATGCATGAATTATACACCTGAATACAATTCAGATCTTCCTTCTTGGGCATTGATTAAAAACCTTTTGAAACTGACCATTTTAAGAATGGGCTTCCCTGGTGGCTCAGAAGTAAAGAATCTGCCTGCCAATGCAGGAGATGCAGATTTGATCCCTGGGTCGGGAAGATCCCCTAGAGAAGGAAATGGCAACCCACTCAAGTATTCTTGCCTGGAGAATTCCATGGACAGAGGAGCCTGGCGGGCTACAGTCCATGGGGTCACAAGAAAGTCAGACATGACTTAATGACTAAAGAACAACAAATTAAGAATATCATCCTTGATGGATACAAACCATCAATAATTAGTCTTAAAATATACTCAAATGCAATAAAATGAGCTAAGAGAAAAATAACAAAATCACAAGCTTCTACTGTTGCCATTCAAAAATTCTGAAGACATAATGCCGACTACAATTAACATATACTATGCAGTGCTACTGAAAGAAAACATTTCAGCAGTATACCTACTGAAAGTCTTTTTAAAGTACATGTAAACCAATTAATCTATATTGGTTCAAAAATGATATACTCTTGCACACCTTTATGTATTTTATAGAAAAAAAAAAACCATGACTTAGAGGTTCACAATCTATAGTCATGTTAATAGCTAAATGAAATCCAATCATAAAAAGTACAAAGATGGAATTTGTGGTTTTACACTTAAAGATAAGCAAAGTCAAGAAACATTAACAGAATATTCCAGATATCCAGAAAGTAAACTGGTGGGTAAAAAGAACTGCTGAAAATATTTAAGTTCATAACAGCAATATTTCAGCACATACACAGTAAAAATACTTGAGGAAAAAATTTCAATGACTAGATGGAAAAAAACTTCATATTACAATGAATTATTTAACATTATGTACACCAAATATACTCTTTATAAAAACTCAGAAAAATCTATACTTTTTCTGGAATAATAATAATGATAATTTATCATACCATTCAGCACCTCTTCTGCATCGAAAAAGGGAATGGTAGAATGAGAAGAAATCTAGATATAAAAATTAATTATTCTGATCTCATTTTAAGAACACTTCTTATTTATCATCTGTAAAACTTAAGATTCTTAAAGAAGATGGCATAAAGAATTGAGTGTATTCTCCCACCTCAAGGAAGCAGACCCAGAAGACAGACATCATCATGACAATTACCCCATCAGAATTTATAGTCACTTACATGAGTCTGAAAAACTGCCCAGTGTAAAACAATATGATAAATACACATTATGTGCCTTCAACTTACTAGTAAACATTCTCTTCTATAATGTGATATCAGTTCTTCATCATGTCCTCTGTATGGGCCTTTGGACAACAGTTCTTTGTTATTCTGATAAGCACAGATAAGGAATAGCAAGGAATCTATATAACTTAAAAAACAGAAGTACAGCATTAGTATTTTATTTTTGTAAAAGAAGAGCAACTACAATTACAAAACATTTTAAGTATACATTTAAATTTTATCCAAATCAACATGAAAATAAGACATCTGAAGATACATTGTTATGCCTGAGAGTATCTCTGGAGCAACAGTCACATGTGAAGGTAGTAAATTGTTGTTTTAAAACTAAAACAAAGAAAAACCCAAAAACCAAAAAAAAATTGAGCTAGGAAGTTAGAAAAAACTGGGAGAAAAAGGCCAAACTGGTTAATTCAGAGAGTTCCTTCTGTCTTCTTTGCTAATTCTTTCCATTTAGATTCAAAATTAACACTGACATAAAAGTCAACAGTCTACTTTTTTAGCAACACCATGACATTTTGTTTGAGGGGCTGATCAGGTTACCTTGCTAATCACAAACATTTGGTTAAATCAATGACTATTTTTAGTCACTTTTTTTTCCCCTATGTGAGGGCACAGTTACAGTCATTGAGAAAGTCATTAACAGAGGGTAGAATATCCAAAGGAGCTGGGTGAAGTAGAAAGGGAAAAAATGCTTCCAAATCTGGGAAATCTACTGGGATACAGACAGACACTAACATAAAGGGAGACAGGATTAGGCCTTTGTTTAATATTGCTATAACTTTAGACCTTTTGAAGTTCAAACTAAGTTTTAAAAAGGGAATATGACACAAATATTTCAGTATTATATTTGTCTCTAAAATGAGTATTCCTCCTCTAACATGCTGTAGGACAAATATACACAGTTGGATGGCTGTATGGGCTTCCCTGGTGGCCCAGTGGTAAAGAATCTGCCTGCATTAAGGAGACCCAGGTTTGATCCCTTGGTAAGGAAGATCCCTTGTAGAAGGGCATGGCAACCCACTCCAGCATTCTTGCCTGGGGAATCCCATGGACAGAGAAGCCTGGTGGGCTACAGTTCACGGTGTCACAAATGAGTTGGACTTGACATAGTGACTAAAACAACAACAATATATCTAAGATAACTGAAATATGAAAGATGTTTTAAGATACCGCCTATGAGCCAATTTTTCTACTCATAGCATATCTGAAAAATTCTGAAAAATGCAACATCCTAAGAAGTGAAACACTGTACAGAAACAATGTTTTATAACCCTTTAAGTGATACTGCCCATCATTGCTACTGTTTGTTAATTTCAGGTGCTCAGACACAAACAAGTCAACTATACAGTCAAAATGTTACATTTAGAATTATGGGGAAATAAACATACTCATTCATGACAAATCAAACTACACACCTGAAACCACTTCATTAAACATATGTTCTTTTAAATATTTTTTGAAAACATCTTTTCCCAGGGATTTGTTTTTGCATAAATTTAGGGCATGAAATCTTATTTTGAAATGATATGGGTATAGTCTCAGCTAAAGCTTTTTTTGTTTAGAGACTGACAACAGTATTAAATGCTATCTTGTGCCACTAAGTTGAATGAGTCTGCTGGCACATCTACCTTTCCTTTTACAGCCATCAAGTTCCCAGTTGAAAGGTCTCCCTGGAGTGACATCCATATCTGGCTTTCTAGAACTGAGTCATCTCTCTGAGAATAGCTCTGAAACCATGAACTTATTCCAATTTTCTAGTGAAGTACACAGAATGTTCCACATTTTATCAGCCTTTAAAGTGCTTCCCTTTCAAGTATATCAGAATAAAATTCAGCAGTCCAGTTACCAAAATCTTATTTAAGATAAATTAAGACCATGGAGCCTGGTAGATTCTCTTTAATTTTCATTTTTACTGCTGTAAAATTATGGCTCCTAAAAACATGATTTCATTTCACTACTCATAGAAGAAACAATAGCCCATTAATAAATATTCAATTTATGGCTTTCAAGTGCTATGTTTTCATTAAAAAAAAAGTTTGACAGAGCATTTTGCCAACATCTTATATACTGCTAGTTATGGTAACCACTACTTTTGTGGTATAATTAACATTTCTTTTTACAAAATTCCATAAATATTATTTGCCACAATCACTAATTTCCTAACTGATATTTTCAATTTAATAATAAACATTTGCTATGCTAAGAATATTCATTTTACCAACAAGAATATATTTAAGATTAAGTAAATTATGAAATTTAAACACAATTTATTTAAAGTCCTTTAATAAACACTAGCTCAGAAAAGCTAATGCAGAAGAGATGCAGAGAGCAAGGGAAAAAGTTTCATCTTTTTAGTTCTTACTGAGATAATGAATACACTTTGTCCTTTTCTTATATCATTAAATAAGAACACAGAGGCCTTTATTTCAATTTTTCTCTCCCTAGTCAGCTCTGTGACCTTGGCAAAGTTATTGTATCACTTTGGAACCTAGTTTCTTTATCTGTTAAATGGAAAAGCCTTTTACATGCTTTATTCTACTGTAAGGGCATATTAATATTTTTCTTAGAAAACTTAATCCCTAAAATCCTAAAGCAAGTTAGAATATTCCTATTAAAGAAATAAAATGTTGACCAAAATATGATTTTATAAGAGAGCTATTGATCAAAATGTTTTCTACTTCAGCTGACCAAAGTGAATTATCTTAAAAGTACACAATCACTAGTACTTTAATAATTTGTCTCCAAGTATTAATATTACTTTTTACTTTTCTACTTTTACGTATTAACTTTTAAGATTTTGATGGCATTGTGCTTGGTCCAATGAACAGAGTGGCACTGTTCGGTAGAATTTCCTGCAGTAATGGAAGTGGTGTCTGTGCTGGCCAGAACAGTAGCCAGTAGTCAGATGTGACTACTGAGCATCTGAAATTCGGCTAGTGTGACTGAGAAACTGAAAAGTTTTAAAATTTTAATTAAATTAGATTGTCCTACATGGCTCGTGAGCCACCATCTTGTACAGCATAGCTCCAGAAGTAGTACTCCATGTTGGCATTTAAAAAAAGAGCATTACTACTTCTAGTGGAGGTAAAATACACAATAAAAAAAAAAAAGAAATCAATATCCTTTTTACTTGGTGGCAATATTACAGTGCATTTTAAACATGGCACTTAAAAAATCCCTAGTCAAGTAAATTAATTTTAAAGGATATGAATTAAATATGTAGATAATAAATAAATGCAATTAGCTAATAATCTATAGCGCTCAATAATCAATATGCAGCCTTTCTTCTCAGTAACAATAACAATTTGGTAAGTAGAAATTCCTTTAAAATCACCTGTAATTTGTATGAGAAGTAATCTAAAATATTTACAGCTGCAATATTTAGAAGACAAGTGATCAGTTTTCTAAAGTTATATTTTTTACAGTACCTGGAATTTCAGAAAAGAGAAACATTAGAAACATTCTCTAATTTGCAATCAAGATTAAACTCAGAAAGAACAGGAAAAAGGCTAGTGAGAGGAAGTTGGATGTTGAAGAATACAAAGAATTCCATTTGCTGGCTACCAGCTGCTTTGAAAGTGAACGTGAAAGTTGCTCAGTCATGTCTGACTCTTTGTAAACCCATGGACTACAGTCCATGGAATTCTCCAGGGGATCTTCCCAACCCAGGGATCGAACCCAGGTCTCCTGCAGTGCAGGTGGATTCTTTACCAGTTGAGCCAAGCTCAAGAATACTGGAGTGGGTAGCCTATCGCTTCTCCCAGTGGGTCTTCCCGACCTAGGAATTGAACCAGGGTCTCCTGCATTGCAGGCAGATTCTTTACCAGCTGAGCCACAAGGGAAGCCCAGGGGAAGCTGCTTTGGTCCCTACCAAATCTAGGCTTCAATCTAATCCTATTTGATTCTAAACTTCAACTGTAGTGTCTGAGAGCTGAAAAATCAACAATAATAATGCTAACTTTACAAATTTAATTTCAAATGGAAAATATATTGTATATGGGGTATATGGGAATTCTTTGTATTAGCTTTGCAATTTGCAATAGTAAATTTAAGACAGTTGTAAAATAAAGTTTATTGAAAATATATATTGTGAATAAAATCTTTTGAGAGATGAGGTCACATCCGAATAGAATATAAGAATTAAGCTTTTCTTATCATGTGTGTCCATTCTGCCTTACCTTTCTCTTTGAAAATTTTCTAGCCCAATAATGAGATACATGGTTGTTTCCCTGAATTTTCTATAATCCTGATGCCACTCCTGTAGGTGAAAGAATATTAAAAGTATATAAATATTAAAACTACAATGAAAACTACTTATAAATACATTTTACAATAACCACTTGAACTAACAGAAGCAGAGAGTTCAAAATTGAAGATAAACTAGACCTAAATCAAGGCTTTAATTTCTTACATACAAACCTGGCAGTATAAAAATAAACGTAAAAATTGTAGACACTAATGAGAGAAATTAAACAATCTCACTAGAAGACAGAAGACATAAAAGGCAAGATAATCAATAGGTAGGCCATTTGCCTCTCAAAAATTCTTCAGTGTAAAAGTTTATTAAGATATTATCAGAGAATATTTGGGGTGCATATATCTTTTCAAATTTCTGTTTTCAATTTTTTCCAGACATATACTCAGGAGAGAATTGCTGGATTATTTTCAGTTTTCTGAGGAACCTCCATAGCATTACCCATGGGGAGAGGAAAAGGAGGAGGAGCACAGTACAAGTACAGAATTAGGAAACATAAAGTATGTATAAAATGGATTAGCAACAAGGACATATTGCACAGCACAGGGACTTATAGCTATTATCTTGTAATACCTTTTAATAGAGTATTATCTGTAACCATACTGAATGACTATGCTGAACACCTGAAACTAATATAATGTAAAGCAACAACCCAACATTTAAAAAAATATTATTATAGAACCTAAATCACATTGAATGTAGAAGGTAAATGAAGCTAACTAATAGGAATCAAAGCTTGAAGACTGTTATTTGAAACAGTTTTAAGGACCTGAAAGAAAAATAAAAAATGTTGTAATAAATTTAACCTTTTAATTTTGCAATATTTGTGATAAATTTTAAATGTGGATGCTTAGTAGTCTTTTCATCTGAGATAAAGTGAAAAAGATAGAAGCATTTCATAGCCCGTCTCCAAAACACCCACAATTATTAAGCATGTCATATAACAAAATGATTCAGAACTCACAATCCACAATTCTAGAAAACAATTTAAAAAATCAAGATTTTTTTAACAAAAATTGATTCAAGGAAAATCATAACTAAAATTCAATATGTGAAAGCTTTTATACACATTTTATTGTAAATAAATGAAAGTAAGATACATATAGGCCAGTTACTAGCCAACTATTGATATATTCTCCTTGAATATAAATCATTTTAATTTAAAAAGCCAAAATTTTCATACTACTGAAAGTGACAGTGTTAGTCACTCAGTCCTGTCTGACTCTTTGCAAACCCATGGACTGTAGCCCACCAGGCTCCTCCGTCCGTGGGATTCTCCAGGCAAGAATATTGGAGTGGGTTGCCATTCCCTTCTCCAGGGGATCTTCCTGATCCAGGGATCAAATCCAGATCTCCTGAATTGCAGGCAGATTTCTTTACCAACTAAGCCACAGGGATAGAAGACATTAATAACAAATAAAGGTAAAATTTATCTTTAAGCATAAAGTTAGCTTTTCTGGGGGAAGTATTCAAATTGCCACTCTGTTATCAATAGATTCACCTTAGAAGTTTTCAGTAGGTAAACTTCTGGTGGCTCAGAGGTTAAAGCGTCTACATGCAATGTGAGAGACCTGGGTTCGATCCCTGGGTTGGGAAGATCCCCTGGAGAAGGAAATGGCAACCCACTCCAGTATTCTTGCCTGGAGAATCCCATGGATGGAGGAACCTGGTAGGCTGGAGTCCACGGGGTCGCAAAGAGTCGGACACGACTGAGCGACTTAACTTAAACTTCTTCTTTAAAGGGTTTGACAATAAATATTTTAGCTGTTGTAGTTACTCAACTCTGCAATTGTAGTGTAAAAGTGCCTGTATTCAATATCTAAACAAATGGCCTGTGTTCCAATAAAACTTTATTTATAAAAGCAGATGATGAGCTGGATTTGGTTTGCAGGCCAAGGATTAACTGATGTGTGATTCAGAGCAAGACAAAGATATGTGGGATATATGAAATCCAAAAACATGTCATGTAAATACCTATAAGATTTAATGGCTCTGCAATTAGAAAAAATATGAAAAATTTTCAGAATAAAAATATGCAGAATCCAATCTGATGAAGCAAACTGGTGGAGGGACTGCAGAAGCAAATAACAATTAAAATCAAGTCCCATGTAACTTGAATCTTGGAGACAAGGGCAGAATTAGAAACCAATTTGCCTGTATCTCTGGCATGTATTATGTGTCCATTTTTTTTGTGGCTATGTTCCCAGATTTTCTATTTTGCCTTATAATTCAAATTTATCTGTTCTTATGATAATATTATTATAAACTATAAAAGTTAAGATAGTTTATATTGATTTCAAGTGAAAATAGCCTTCCTACCTTGTTCTGTAAGAAAGCTGAGACTAGAATGTTTGCATTTCCATAAATTTTTTGAATGAGCTTATTAAGCTCCATAAAACAACTTGCTAGAAGTTTGCTAGAAACTGAACAGTTTCAATAAACCATTCTGTGGAAAACCGACATCTTTACAACACCAAGTTTTCCAAACACAATACATATATCCATTTACTTAGATCTTCTTTATAACATCTCCTAAAATTATGCACATCTTTTATTAAATTTGCTTCCAGGTACACCATCATTTTGGATATTATCTAAAATGTGTCATTTTAAAGAATTTCTATCTGAATATTTGCTACTGCTATAAAGAAATAAAACAGATATTTGACATAGATTTGTATTTTACACAGCTCTCTTATTATCTTTATCTCCAATAAATTTATCTGCAGCTTTTTCTTTTTATACATAAAACATCTGCAAATAATGAGAGCTTTGTTTCTTCTTTTGCAATCTTACTTTTTGCTTTATTTTTATTGCCTTACTGTACTGCTTAAACTCCAGTACAGTGTTGAATAGAACTGGCGTACATCCCTGTCTTTTCTTGATCACAAAACGAAAGTTTTCAATGTTTAGATTTCAGTATGATTTTTATGGTAGTTCTGTTAGTTTTTGATTTTCAAGACACTCTTCAGTAGACTAAAGTAGTTATCTTGTATTCCAGGTTAGCTAAGAGTTTTGAGCAAAAATGAATGTTTTTCTGTATCCTTCCTTTTATCTGTTAAATGTAGTGAATTATACTAATTGTTTAAGGGAATATAAAGTAATCAGGTTTGCAAACGCGACCTATCACTAGTGAAAGGCACTCATGAATGCAAATTAAAATTTATTCACGTAAGAATTTTTGGAAAAACAATGCAGAAAGTTAAAGTTAAAAATTTGACAAAATATTAGGTGTTTGAATTGGTAACTTAATTTTAAAGCCAAAGTTAACACAAAGAGAATTTTGTGGACAAAAACTACCACAAGCACAATACAAATGCTCACGTGTGCTCTCTCTCATACAACGCTGTCCAATAATGACAAATACATAAGGCATACAATGACTGAAACAAATTTTTAACTTCCCCTCAAAATATATATATGAAGCAAAGAAAATGTATAGCATGGCTTCACTGTAATACAGCATTTAGGAATGTAGGTTCTGCTAAATCAAGTTGTGACATGAAGCTATGATAACTTTAGGCAGGTTACTTCACCCCTTCATGATGAATTTTCTCATGTGATTATTAGCTATGCTGAAATGAAAGAATACTGAACCAAAGAATTCCTCAACCTACAGTTCAACCTCCCAAAAGGCACATTACCTCATACTCCTCCATGTTTACTTCTTCAGGTTTTATCATTTCAATTTTGGCTTGAGCAACTTTCATTATGTTGTGACACCTTCAAATAAAAAATATTTCTAAATCAAGAGCAAAATCCATAAAAACTTAAAAAATGTGTTTTATACAAAATTAAACTACCCAACACATATGAAAATGAAATCCACTATCACTGTGCAATATTTTTGAGGAAACAAATTACAAATAACTCAAATGAAAACTGGTTTTTTGGACAATACTGGATATTTACTAAGTATATGAAGAAGACAGAAGCAATGATTCTAATTCACCATGTTATATTTACATATGAATTTTAAATTATGTTCTATTAAACATGAAAAAAGAAAGTTTTTAAAAATTGATAATGTATCTCTCTATTAAGCAAGCTCCAGAGACATGAAATCTCACTTCTCCCAAATAATATTATTCATAAATAATAAAAAGATATCCAAAATGTGCCTATCCTTTCAGATAGGAATGGCAACATTTCAACAGATTTTATGATCAGAACCACTGCTAAAGAAATCTCCCCAAAGTATATTTATAGTTATCACATACAGTTTACTCCATATTTCAAGCACAAGAGAAATTAGATTTCTCAAACAAACTATTTTTACTTGCCAAGGCTACTAACTGCAGAAGATTGAAAAGTCAAAGTGAATACTTCATAAATATCTTCCCCAAATTCAATAGCATATACTCATTGGAACACAGTACACTAACCGCTCAGATAAAAGAGGGTCATAATTTCTGAGTTCTTCAGTTATATTTAACAAAATAAGTGATGTCAACATTCATAGCCAATACTTACTGAGTATTTACCAGATAATGCTCAAAACCATTTACTTGTATTATTTCCCTTAATCCTAAATTTCACAGCAGACACATGATGAGGCAGAAATTAATCCTAGATGCTTTGTTTTCTGTCACACTCTTCTCTACTACACATATTTTAAATTCAGTATTTTTGAGACATTCATGAAAGGATAATCATTTACTTCAGAATTAAAATGTATTTACCATGAACTCCAAGATAGTATAAATGTTTCTACATTTTAAAACTCTTCAATACTTTGGGTGTTTACCTGAGGGCTGAATTTTTTTTTTAAATAGTATTTATTCTAACTAAGTTTTAATTTTTAACATTAGTAAAGAGTTTTATAGGAACTTCTAAGAAAAAACTTTTTGGTAAACCAAAATTCATTGAACCATTCTAAGCCTTCTCTTTACGTCAGAAGATGTATAATTACTTTGTGCATACTGATTAATTACTTTCCCCAACTGTTCTCAAACAAGGATGATTCTGCTCCCGGTGGCATATCTGGCAGTATCTGGAGACATTTTGGGTTGTCACCACTTGAGGGGTACCACTGGCTTTAATGGGTCAAGGCCAGGAACATCACTAAATATCTTACAGATTATAGGACATCCCCTACCTCCTAAACAAAAAAAATCATCTGGCCCAAAATATCCATAGTGCAGAGGTTCAGAAATTCTTTATTTTTCTGAAATTTTTAGTCCCCAAAGGCCAGTGAAAATTATATTATACTCTTCTGTGTATCTTTCTATTGCTTATCTCAGTGCCTTGGTTCACAATTAAAATGTAATAAAATGATCTAAATTATTTTGGGGTTAAAGTTTTAAAAGTCATGATTATAAATAAATAAATTACAAAGCAACTGAATTAAGTAAAGTCAAATTAAGTGAAGTCAAACTTTGTGCTACATTACTGAAATATGTGTATGTGTAAAATACATATTCAAAAATTGCACTTGGAGCTATAAAAACAACACGGGCAATTTGAGCACGTGAATAAAATACTTAACATTTTGTATTTTCAAATTACCTTTCATCAAAACTCAAATTTCTATCTGCAAATTGTTCTAGCAATGTTTTCTCAATGATTTTCTTTGGAGCCTGATTCTGGATAAAGTAGACTATTACATGATGTAAACGATAGTCTGTTTCTGGTGGGGTATCTTCTTGGGCCAATTTAACCAACCTTGAATATTCCAACTTAATTGCCTAGAAAATACAACAAAATGCCAATCTTAGTTAATTATAATAATTCACATCCTTCAATATTATAATTATCCTTATATTCAAATATGCTTTTTTCCTTTTAAAATATTACCAAAAAAGGTAGTAGTATATCTAAGAACACTGTCCCATGTTCCATAGTTTAAATATATCTAAGCTTACTGTAAGTTATTTTGCAAAACTTATCAGAGATTGGTCAAAGTCTATTCAGAGGAATCAGAAGACTGAGATACTAGGTATATCTCCTAATCTATGCTCCACTTGAAGTACACCTCTAATATCTAAAATTCTAGGGTTGAGCTGTAGGTCCCTAGAATATTCATATCTGAAAGAAAATGGCTGGCTCTTAAATGGATGATAATAATACCATCACAATTAACTTTAACTGCAGAGGTTACAAATAAGGGATAAAAAAGTAAGCTTTTTTTTCCACTATAAATTTTTGTTTCAAAAATATTTGAATTTTACCAGTGTAATGTTTATCAATGAACACTATCACTATTACTACCTTGATACTGAGCTTACCTTTTCTTTATTTGCAACTGCTATTACGAGAAAGAATAAATACTAATGTGTGTTCCCACACATAAACAAATGATTTGAAAAATATTTGCTCAGAGAAATACATATAGAGATATATATCAAGTACTGCCATATGTAGGAAGCCCATATAATTAAAGATAACTTTAATTAAAATATTCATTTATATTAGATATCATATCTAAATTATTTTCTACTAACCATAAGACATTTGGAGCTACATGCAATATATGTTACAAAAAGTCCATTCTATTGGAAAGGGTTTTTTTGCATGCGTTTCCTAAGCAATTCTTGGCCATCCAGATACTATCACCTATTTGGCTGTATTTTACAGAAGTGAGAAAATGTACCTGAAAAACAGTAAATGGAACATTCTAGTTATATGTTTTTAAACCTCATTAAGGAAGGAGCCAAGATGGCGGAGGAATAGGACGGGGAGACCACTTTCTCTCCTACAAATTCATCGAAAGAACATTTGAATGCTGAGCAAATTTCACAAAACAACTTCTGATTGCTAGTAGAGGACGTCAGACGCCCAGAAAAGCAGCCCATTGTCTTCGAAGGGAGGTAGGACAAAATATAAAAGATAAAAAGGGAGTCAAAAGAGCTACGGACGGAGACCCGTCCCGGGAAGGGAGTCTTAATAGAGGAAGTTTCCAATCACCAGGAAACCTCACACTGGCGGGACTGGGGGAACTTTTCAGCAATCTAACTGGGAGGAAAAATTAAACAAGGCCCACAGATTACGTGCCTAAAAGCAACTCCCAGCAGAAAAGTACCCCAGACGCCCGTACCCGCCAGCAACAAGCGGGGGCGGGACGGAGAGGAGCTGGCGGCATTGCTGAGGGTAAGGACCGGCCGGAAGACACTGAGAGCAATCGGAGGGAGCTTTTTTAAACTGTGGGAAAGCAAGAGTCAAAACTAACCGGCCCAAACACACTGCCGGCGGTTCGCAAAACAAAGGGACTGAGAAACTCCAGAGAAGAGCCGGCCCATCCCCGCTGGAGGTTGGAGGCAGGGGGGAGGGGAAAGGGCAAACTCAGCCCCTGAGAAGCCACCCCCTCCCACACTGCAAACAGGCCCCCGGTTCCTATCTAAAGACTTCCTGAGACCCGACTGGCAGCGCGCGCTGGGGCCGCGGAGGGAAAAGGCGCCCGGCATCCGGGGAGAGTGCGCCCAAGCCTCTGGCTCCCTGGGCCGCTCGACGCGGAGGGAAAAGGCGCGCCACACCCAGGGAGAGTGCGCCCAAGCCTCTAGCTGCCTGAGCTGCCCGCCGCGGAGGGAAAAGGCGCCCCGCATCCGGGGAGAGTGCGCCCAAGCCTCTGGCTCCCTGGGCCGCTCGCCACGGAGGGAAAAGGCGCGCTGCACCCGGGGAGAGTGCGCCCAAGCCTCTGCTGCCTGGGCCGCTCAGGCCGGGGAAGGCACAAAACGCAGGCGCGACCGAATCTGCGCTTTTGTGGAGTACCCGAAAACTGGAACCAAACTCAGCGCAGGGCCCGCTCCATATAGAGCAGCCGGGAGCCTGGGCAGTGTAGACGGGGAACGCACTGACACCCGTGAGTGGCGCAAACCCAGTGTGGCCGGAACACGGTGAGTGCTATCCACACAGAGCGGTATCTGCAGCGCCCCGCCCTCCCTGTAGCAGGACTGAACTGAACTAGAGAACCTAAATAAGAGATCACCTCCGCCCGCCTGTGTCAGGGCGGAAATTAGACACCAAAGAGACGGCAAACAGAAGCCAAATAAACAAAGGGAACCGCTTCAGAAAGGACTGGTGCAACAGACTAAAATCCCTGAAGGTAACACCGACTACACCAGAAGGGGCCTACAGATATCGAGAAGTGTAAGCTGGAAAGAGGAGCTATCTGAAATTGAACTGAACCTACACTGACTGCAACAGCTCCAGAGAAATTCCTAGATATATATATATATATTTTAATTTAAAAAAAAAATTTTTTTTTCTATCCTTTTAAATTTTTTTTATTTTTTCTCTTTTATTTTCTTTTAAAATTCCCTATTACTACCCCATTACTCCTCAACTTTCATTTTCATATATTTTTATGATTTTTTTAATTAGGGAAAAAAAATTTTTTTTTCTTTTTCTTGTTTTTCTCTCCTATTTCCTTTTAAAGTCCTCTAATACTCCTCTATTATTCCTTAATTTTCATTTTCATTTCACTATAACCTTGCCAAAAAAAAAAAAAGAGAGAGAGAGAGAGAAAAACCCTATTTTTTAATCAAACTTCATATACATTTCTAAATCTTTTGTGTGTGTTTTTGTTTTTAAATATTGTATTTCAAAGAGTCTAACCTCTACACTAGATTTTTAATCTTTGTTTTTCAGTAGTATGTGATATAAATTTTGGTCATTTAAGAATCCAATATTCAGTTCCCATTTCTATTCAGGAGTATGGTGATTACTCTCCCACTTTTGACTCTCTGTTTTCTACCTCGGAACACCTCTATTTCCTCCTTTCCCCTTCTCTTCCCAATCCAACTCTGTGAATCTTTGTGGGTGTCTGGGCTACGGAGAACACTTTGGGAACAGATAACTGCGTAGATCTGTCTCTCTCCTCTTGAGTCCCCTTTTTCTCCTTCTGATCACTTCTATCTCCTTCCTCCCTCTCCTATTCTTCATGTAACTCTGTGAACCTCTCTGGTTGTCTCTCACGGTGGAGAATCTTTTCACCATTAACCTAGAAGTTTTATTATCAGTGCTGTATAGTTGGAGAAGTCTTGAGACTATTGGAAGAATAAAACTGAAATCCAGAGGCAGGAGACTTAAGCCCAAATCTTGAGAAAACCAGAAAACTCCTGACTACACGGAACATTAAGGAATAAGAGACCATACAAAAGCTTCCATACCTACACCAAAACCAACCACCACCCAAGAGCCAATAAGCTCCAGTACAAGACATACCACGCAAATGCTTTAGCAACGCAGAAACACAGACCTGAGTGTCAACATACAGGCTCTCCAAAGTCACACCTAACACATAGATCCATCGCAAAACTCATTACTGGACACTCCACTGCACTCCAGAGAGAAGAAATCCAATTCCACGCACCAGAACGCTGACACAAGCTTCCCTAACCAGGAAACCTTGACAAACCAATCGTCCAACCCCACCCACTGGGTGAAACCTCCACAATAAAAAGGAACCTCAGACCACAAGAATACAGAAAGCCCACTCCAGACACAGCAATCTAAACAAGATGAAAAGGCAGAGAAATACCCAACAGCTAAAGGAACATGAAAAAAGCCCACCAAGTCAAACAAAAGAGGAGGAAATAGGGAATCTACCTGAAAAAGAATTTAGAATAATGATAATAAAAATGATCCAAAATCTTGAAAACAAAATGGAGTTACAAATAAATAGCCTGGAGACAAAGATTGAGAAGATGCAAGAAATGTTTAACAAGGACCTAGAAGAAATAAAAAAAAGTCAATTAAAAATTAATAATGAAATAAATGAGATCAAAAACACTCTGGAGGGAACCATGAGTAGAATAACAGAGACAAAAGATAGGATAAGTGAGTTAGAAGATAAAATGGTGGAAATAAATGAAGCAGAGAGGAAAAAAGAAAAAAGAATCAAAAGAAATGAGGACAACCTCAGGGACCTCTGGGACAATGTGAAACGCCCCAACATTCGAAATATAGGAGTCCCAGAAGAAGAAGACAAAAAGAAAGGCCATGAGAAGATACTCGAGGAGATAACAGCTGAAAACTTCCCTAAAATGGGGAAGGAAATAGCCACCCAAGTCCAAGAAACCCAGAGAGTCCCAAACAGGATAAACCCAAGGAGAAACACCCCAAGACACATATTAATCAAATTAACAAAGATCAAACACAAAGAACAAATATTAAAAGCAGCAAGGGAGAAACAACAAATAACACACAAAGGGATTCCCATAAGGATAACAGCTGATCTATCAATAGAAACCCTTCAGTCCAGAAGGGAATGGCAGGACATACTTAGAGTAATGAAAGAGAATAACCTACAACCTAGATTACTCTACCCAGCAAGGATCTCATTCAGATATGAAGGAGAACTCAAAAGCTTTACAGACAAGCAAAAGCTGAGAGAATTCAGCACCACCAAACCAGCTCTTCAACAAATATTAAAGGATCTTCTCTAGACAGGAAACACAGAAAGGTGGTATAAACGTGAACCCCAAACAACAAAATAAATGGCAACGGGACCATACCTATCAATAATTACCTTAAATGTAAATGGGTTGAATGCCCCAACCAAAAGACAAAGGCTGGCTGAATGGATAAAAAAGCAAGACCCCTATATATGCTGTCTACAAGAGACCCACCTCAAAGCAAGGGACACATACAGACTAAAAGTGAAGGGCTGGAAAAAAATATTCCACGCAAACGGAGACCAAAAGAAAGCAGGAGTCGCAATACTCATATCAGATAAAATAGACTTTCA